TCCACCCCGTTTTCGCAGGCTAGCCGGCTGCTTCCTCATATTTTAGCCTGTCAACATTAAGCTGCTGATGTGCTTCAACCAGACGATGTCGATGCCACACAGCCAATTTCAGACAAAGTTTAACTACCGCCATATGATGATCTGACCCACACCTGTGGAGAGTCTCGAGTAACAGTCGCACCATTCGCAGTTGATGAGGACATGGTCAGGTTGAAAATTTAAGTTTCCATTCGTTGGACGTTCAGGTGGTTTGGTGTATTTACTTCTGAGGGAATTGTGCTCTGCCGAAGATTAACTTGCTTGTCGCGCAAAAACTTAACAGACGTATGTTGGTATCATTTGCGCTGTTAATCGTATGTAAGCCAAAACCTAAATTCAGACACAGTCTGAAACTCTTAACACAATTGCATAATTTAGCCTGATCTGTGCATACCCATTAATTGCATTTTTGTAGATTGAAATGGGTTGGTATACATGGTGATTTATTTGAAAAATTTAAAAAAATTTATGTAGATGAATATGTCAGTGCCCGCACTTGATGTGCCACCGTTAAAGTCTTCAGTGACTTTTTGAAATTCTCCTCACTGAATGGCGCTGATCGATCAGCTCATGATCTCAGATATGATGCACTCACTGGAAGCGCACTGAAGGGAAAAAAGGCTATGTGCAAGCGAAAAAAACATGATAATTAAAAATGGCAAATATTTCCGACGGCAAAGCAGAAAACGAACGTAGACCAAATAGGTATATCGTAGGAGACAAAGATAGGACGCTTATTCTAAGTAAGTTGGAACAGCACAGTAATTCATCAGCTTAGAAGTCTAATTCCCCTCGGAAACTGCTCATACGACGAAAATACTATAACCAACCAATGTTATAAATTTTAGTTAGTGCCTGAGGATCAAAATTTTCCCAAGATATCCAAAAGTTTTGCCTTAATACGAGACAGAAGTGTGCCTAACTAAAAATCACAAAATATTCAGTTAGTTCATCTAAACTACATTCTTAGCAGTGGAATATGCATAAAAAACAGTTGCATCACTATTTTGCCTCGATAACCCATAAGCATTTGCTACTGTCCTTACGATAAGACCCACCTCTCAAGCTGGTAAAGATGAATGATCGCTGACGGATGTGGACGACACGTCATAGCGAAGCAGTCGGCAGAAATCAAAGCCTCGCCTTAACCCAAGTAAGAGAACAATGCAACCCATTGGGACTATGCAGCACGTTGCACAGCAAGGAGACATCTTCGATAGTCACGACACTAGCACCATCAGTGAAAGTCATTGAAAAAGTAAGCGCGTTAAGGAGGCATTAGTCATGCGGTACTGCGACAACGTCACCTTGACAAAGGACCCGAGCCTCGTTGCTCATGTCACCAGAAAACTTCTTAACCGATCGCATGGAACAAAGACTCACCTTTTAGTTCTGTATGTACGGTCAAAAGGGAGTTTTGATAGCAGCTGACTTCCATGCCTTGACGTGAAAACACGTTTCTCGGTTGGCTGCACAGAAGTGACAACAAGTGTAATTCTTATGATCAAGAGAACTAGCAGCAAATGAAAAAATTTTGCGTCATGCTTAAATAGTTGAACTACACTTTGGTATGACAATGCATCACAGTATATAATGGCCGTTATGGCCTCTCCTGGTTTGCTACACTGATGGACAGTGATCGTAATGAATAACGCCAACATGTGCATGGGTCCTAACGCGGCGAGTGACGGACACTGACACTGAGTAACACTGCGGTCATGGAGAAATCGAGAAACCTAATATTAGATTTTTGTTTTCAATTGTAAAACGGTGTAAACGTATAAATTGACAAGTACAATCAAATGTCTGTAAAGTTGTAGGCAACCGCCGAAGTGACGTTGCCAAATTTGGAACGAATTTAATTGCACTGAACGACGGTTGGATGACAGATGACATCCAATTGTACTCTGCCACCCATTACCAGAAGGCAGACCGGGAAACAAGCCATGACGAATGACTTTATGCCAACCGCCGATTGTACATAAAAGGCTTCGCACCGATCATGCGATCAATTAGTGTTTCGCTTGACATCATTTTTGAAATTGGCAATTTTGGCATGATTGAAGTTTCGGCACAAGTGTCAGATGGCGTCAATAAAAAATTGTCGTGAAATGCATCGCTTAATTCTCGCACTGCTTTCAGATCGTTGAGACGGTAGTTGAATGATCATCGACCGACGTTTATCCATTCTCAGATCTGTGGGCGAGGGTTTTTCAAACTACGAAGCTTGTCGCATAAACACACAAAAGATATTGCTACCAGATGCCGGTGGCTGTCAAAAGTCGCCCACGTGACGACGATGAATATGTCTTAGTTTAGGTTGCTTGTTTCTTGCTGTTCACTAAAAAGGAGCACTGTCCAGAAACGACCGTTTCCTTGTGAACGAACGTTCGTCCACCTGCACAGTCTTGCTACACCCGCCAATCACAGCACGCAAAGGGAGGGGCTTCTTTCAGGTGGCGGCTAAAATCAGACGAGTTACAGCCCGATACTGTTGAAATTTGCGAATCAACGTGCCGCTTGAATACTGGAGATGTTTTAGCTCGAGCTTGAACGGTGAATCATGATGCTGACCACTGGTTTGGGAAGAAACTAATACTAGACGAAACAGTTCTCGTTTCCTTCTCATTTCCAGCACGTTGTGAATCATAGCGTTTACAGGTAAGGTCTCGCTTCATTCCGCAGGTTTAATTCGACAGAAAATGTATTTTTATACGTTTGCATTCAGATCCAGCTCCATGAGTTTTCAATTATATGTTTAAAACTTCATTTAAATGTTCATCTCTCTCATCAGAGAGACCGTGAGAAAGTTCCAGTGAAATGATATCCTGTTCGATGAGGCTGATCCTTTCAAAAAGCTGTGGAAGGTCGTTCGTGATGAAAGCGACATTGACCCTGAAGTGAACCGTCTCACTGGTCTGCTGTCGATGAGTTTTATGAAACTGCATGAAACGAGGAATGATCGAGGAATGAGAACGGCTAGGAAGATACCCTCAAGAACAACCGCATTCAAAATTGTCACGTACAGTCTGGAAACATCTGCGGCCCTGAGAAGGGCCGTGAATCGCTAATCAAAATTTATTATTATTGTTGTCTATGAAGTATTATGAAATAAATCGTATCATCGAGCCAATGACTACCTTATGATTTTTGACCTTCTGGCGCCATTGCCTGAACAACAACTACATAATTTGCATCGTGCTTATTATTACACGCTATAATCAACTCTCAGAGAGGTTCAGGTGAATTGTACCGAGACGTGACATTCCACAGCAAGACACTACTCCTTCCGAGTCTGCAAAGACGACAGCAAAACTCTATATTCCTCGAGTTGTCTGGTTGCTCCGAGATAGCGTGGGACGATTTTCTTGCTCGATTGAATAAGCCGTTTGGAAATTATTTTTCATTAAACAAACTTCGGAGATAACGGATAACCTCTTATGATGAGGAATAAGTCTTTCTCACCTCAGGGTACGCTGCCTGATTTTGAGAAATATCGATTCATACAGTCAAATACAACCCAATTGTTCAAGCTTCGTTATCTAGAGATGAAAATGATAACGGTACCTGTCATGTAAAACGCATTCGCTGCATTCATTCCTCCATTTGTCATTCAGTCTCATTAAAATACATAGTCAATAATTTTGGACTTAGGTTTGTTAGAATCACTTTTCTCCTCCCTTACTTCTATTTTTTAATGTGTAAGTGTGCCTTACAGGCATTGGTGATGCAGCGGACCAACGTTGACATCGGCTGGAATACAAGAAAGATTTCTGTCATTCAGCAGATGAAGCTGAGCCGCAACATCGAGAAGAGCGTAAAGACGGTTCACTTTGACGGTTTCGACCACTTCCATAAGGCTCAAAAGTTCGTCGCGAAATTTTTCTGGATGATGCTATTCGCCTTCTCGCTGATATGCGTTTTCTACGAAATATACCGGCTGATTTGGCGCTACAACCATATACCTGTGATCACTACGATTTCGACGCGTCTGGCGACCAGCATGCAGCTGCCCACGATCGAGATCTGCTTACCGGTGATCATCGGCCAGAAGCATTTGGACAACATTCCTCACGGTGCCGACGTAGCAGAGGCAATCAGCCGAAGTATGATGTCTGCATCGCCGGTAGAGATTCACAGAATTCTCACTCCACCCAACTACTCGGTGACATGGGCGTCGCAAGAATCAGAGGAACTTTTTCAGGCAGTCTTTCCCGACGAACGCACCTTACCGTTTGCTCAGATTCTTGAATTAAACAACACCACTGAAACTGTCTTGTCTCTCGACCTAAACGATATGAACAAGGTTTATAAAATGTTCATGCAGATGGGATTCAGCATAAGGGAAGTGTTTCTAGAATGCATGTTTTATAACAACATCTACAAGAGACTGGATTGCGAAGACATCATTACGGAAATTTTCAATCCCCGTTTCGGCAAATGCTTCCTCATTCCTCCAGGAAAGCTTAAGCAGACTTTTCCAGGGGAAGCCTTGATGCTGTTCATTGATTCCCAGGTATCAAACTATCCAGCATCTGAATTTTTAAGACAAACGACTGCTGGTTTAACTGTTGTGCTACATCATCAATATCTGTACGCGCCTTACACCACCAGAGAGGTACATGTTCAACCTGGAATGTTCAATAAAATCACCATTCTTCCTGAGTACCATAAGTACCTTTCAACTAAAGGAAATCAAAGAATCGTTGAAAGACGTTCTTGCACCTCTGACGATGAAGGTGATCTCAGTTTATTCCTCCTTAACTACACAATCTCGTCCTGCGTCTTCGACGTTGTTCAGAGGACCGTTATTGCCCACTGTAATTGTTACCTTCCCCAAGATCAGCGATTCGTCGCATCGACCGTGCTATCTCTCAGCCGAATGTGTTCCCTCTTCGACGTGCACCACTGTGTGATACCAAAAATCCATCTAAACGACTCGGTGAGACTGGGTATGCTAAATTCCTTAAAGCGCTGCTCTGCTCGCTGCAACTTTTGGAAATACAGTACACGGGTGAGCACGATGCACATGCACAAGCCGTTCATCGACTACTTCCTGAGGAAGAACCTCTCTCTGGACGACGTTGTCCTTCTTCAGATAGCCTTTGAAGATCTGCGCTACACGGCTCTAGACCAGCAGTGGGCAACCGATATCCACGGCTTAATCTCAGACGTTGGCGGACAAGTTGGTTTGTGGATCGGTGGCTGCATGGTGACCATCATACAGCTCCTGATCGTTGTTTGCATTGCCGTTGTTAATTATTTCATAAGGATGCTAAAACAAATCAAAATTAAGATAGGTGAATAAAACATTTTGCTCATCGGTAATTCCGACTTAATGACGTTCACTGCTAGAGATATAGTTCCGCTTGGAACAGGTACACGGAAACTGCATAACTATGACTATTCTTCTGCATATCAACTGCAATCGCATAATTGTCCTTCAGAAATATAGCCAGCGTTATGCTGGCATCACTTGGACCACCAGCCCCGTAATCAGAGACGGATCGCACCGGAAGCAAAGCGTCCGCCATCCTCGAGGTTTCGAGCCCTCTCCATCCAAACGCAGCACTCCTCACTCATTACATAATCTTCTCGCAGTCGTGGTACGAGACCAGCTGGCCTAATCTACCCACAAGGATACCAGCCGACAATCATCGTCGACTATTTCACGTCAGTGAGTCAAATTACATGCCCTGACAACTGCAACTTATTCCTTCTGCTGTCGAGACAACCTCCTCTACCTCCATCCGTTGCCTGATCACTGTGTTAGAGACGCCATCGCGAAGTGAAATTCTCAACATTCTTCTCTCCATGGTCATTCGAATGACAAATACCTGGTGCTGTTTAGTTTTAGTGGGTGCCACGTCTCAGAGCCACACAGCTTGTTGGAGGGACGATAGAATTGAGGACGTGTGTGCGGGTTTCTTTCATGATGTTGTCTTGGAGTGCTTGGTTGATGGAATGGAAAGTGCGCCAACCCGGCACACTTATTCTTTGAATCTGTATAAAATGATCATGCCGTATTTCCTGACCCAGGTAAATATATTTATTTATTGACTTCAAAATTTTCATGGTTTAATACTGTCTGAGCGTTCAGCAAAGCATTCGGTGGTGGTACCTTGATTTTTCACTGATTGATTCGCTTTCCGCCTTTGCACCATTTTTTCAGAGTTCTTCCAGGATGTCTTACACCACGCCATCAGTGAATCTTAGATGGCTGAGTTGTTCTATTAATCCAGCCCTTCTTGTTAGTTCTCCGGAACACCATTTCCAAGAGTTTGCGGACATGATGTCGCATTGTTTCACACCCTTCTCTACGGGAAACCGGAGGGGTGTCGAACAGAGTGTGATGTTTGTGAAGCAATCAGAGTTCGATCCCTTTGGCAGATCCATATGACGGGTTTCGATGCCCTGTTTAGGGGAAATCAACACTGCTTTGTTTTCTTTTTTTCGAAAGCTTTCTCGTAGTTCACAAAGGCTATGCACAAAAGGAGCTGGAATTTCTTCATGGGCTTGAGGAGTTGAGTTAAGGTAAAGATGTCATTCGTTGTACTATGGATCCTTTGTAATCGTGCTTGTTCTTTTGGTTGCTATTCGTCCAAACTTGCTGAGAGTCCAATGCTGATAATCTTGGTGAACAGGTTGTAGACTTGTGGGAGGAGGTAAATGGGGCGGTAGTACCTCAGGTCTTCCTTCTCGCTCTTCTTGAACAATACCATTCTTTTTGACTTCTTCCAGCTTGATGATATCGTTTCCGTCTCCACGTAGCAACTGAGGCTTTCCGCTAGAACACTCCGCAGCGTCTCATCACTTTCGTCGATCACGCTATTTATCGCGGCGTCTATCCGTGGGGTCTCACCTCCTTCCTTTGCTGTGCAGCATGTAGAACTTGGCTTATGAGAACCGGAACCGGCAGTGCATTTATGGTTGTTGAAATTGAGCATTCGAGCCTATCATGCTGGAACAGAAACACGGTGCGTTTCGACAACGAAGCAAGCATGCAACGCGGATAGACAAAGAGCAGGCGGATCCATGTTCAGAGGGGAATTGTTCCTCATATGATGCAGTAACCGTTACCTCATAGCAGACCTAAATTACAGCGATCATTGCTAAAGAGGGATGTTCCATTGACAAAAATCGCTCAAGACGATTAGCTCGACCAAGGCACATATGTGGAATTCCAAACATATTGTAAAGTTTAGTCTAGGGAATTCATTAACTGAAGCGCGAATAAATTAATTAATTAATGAATCAATTAATTAATTAATGAACAGAAACGAACGAATGCGAGATATTTTCGCACCGTGAGCGTTAAAACATCATTTAATCAGTGTTTGCTTCAACTTGTTCCTTGGCATCTAGGAACAAGAACTTATTGTCATGTGTTTATATTGGAATATTGCGTGGTAGCGAGAGCGTTTGTCTCCTGATTCCTCCAATTCTTTTGAAGACATGGAAAATAAACTATGCTAGGCCAGTGCTGATCAATAATTGCAATGATAAGATTATAGAGTCTAAATCATGAAGTGCTTAAGCTTCCGTATTTCTTTAGTAGCCGCAGTGACGGCTACGGATTTGTGTCGCTGTTTCGCTGAACATAATTCCCATATCCAAACGAGCCTGCATATCAAATAAAGACACATTTTGATCTCTAATCCCTCAAAGCATAGATCATACGTCATTTGCTGGATGAACCTTTGCTCTTTGCAGTCCCGATGCTTCGGTGAATTAATCCACGATTGCGAAATTACGAATGGTTCCTCTGTCACCAGACCTATACAAGCAGGTCACGGCTCCAGAGTATCTGAGTGACCGCAGAGCATCTAGCATCATTTCGTTTGTTGCACCTCACACTTATCACAAACGATGATTCAGGACCTGGTACTCACATATGCTACCGCATTAACACCTTAAGTTGATCGTAGGCTTGAGCAGGTCAAATAAAGAGTAACTTCTCCAACACTAGATTTCGAGGCATGATGCACAACCCCTTGCTCCCAGTTGCCTTGGAACAGGGATGATTTAAAACCAGTCGTGGCTTCTTGGTAATCCACAGCTGCTGAAAGTTTGACTTGAATTTAAAATAAAGGCAAACACTCACTGTTGTCACCCTCTGTGATTTTAATACTTGAACATCTGCGGTAAAATCATCACGGAAATCGCGTTCGATTGGGTTTTGGTCGAATTACGGAATTTTTAATTAGCTTTCACCAAGAGCCATCACCTTGTTTTAAGACTCGTTCAAAAGGCGAGTGAAAATACAGTACGGCATTACGTTGCAAATTTCTAAAAGATCACAGACAAAAATTTATCCTTCAGAGGCGGTAACTTGAAAATTTGCAGAACGGTGACCAGAGATCTGCCTTGGCAGCCGCTGATTCGATAGAGCAGCAATCGATGGCAGTGCGATGACGTCTTTAATCTTTTTACATGCCGACCTTCTGACCAGGGCAAGAATCTGGTTGATAAATTCCGGGGGTCTGCAAACATTACTCGCGCGTTGGCATTCCAGCACCGCAGGATCGCTCATGGCACACGACCGTGAAGAAACCACCAGCAGCCACCATCTCGTTGGCCAAATGGCACATGATCAGGAAAAGCTTCAAATCTTGCAGACTGTTCGGCCTCTTGACAGAGACGAACACCATAAAAGGAGCCATCTCTGTATAGATATATTTGCTAATTATGTGAATATCTACCTGTGTGCGTTCCAAATACAACGCTTCGTTATGGAACCGCGGTCGAGTGTCACAGTAGGTTTTGATTTATTGAGGAATGACCTCTAATTTTATCCGTGGCATCAATCTCAAGACGAATTGGTTATAAAGTTACCGTTCAGTGGTATGATAATGCCTTGCATTTGTAACGGCTTATGCAATAACTGTTTCTTCCAAAGTAGGAATCGCATTATCAATCAATCAATCAATCAATCAATCAGTTTCGATGACCGCTTTTCATTTCGGGTTACGGAGGCAGACATATCAGACAGTGCTTCCAACTTTCTTGAATCTGTGCCAGCGTTTGAGAATGGCAGAAGACAACCGGAGTC